TGGGTTGTGCAGGATCCGAAACACGCATGGCTGGAAGCACGCTCGGATATGGCAAGAAATCGTGCACAATGGCGGACTTGCTATGACTCACTATTCCGATGAACACCGCTTTTGTCCTTCACTCCATCTTCTTATGCTTCTTGTATCTTCCATACGTTGTGGCACTGCTAGTTGTACTCTTGGCCATGTTGAATATATATATATATATATATATATATATATATATATATATATATATATAGCGTGCCCCATGCTGAGGCTGATGTTGCATTCTTGATGCTTCTTCACCGCAGTTGGGCTAAACCAACTTACACTTAAACTAGGTCTTTTTAAGCTGGATAAATTTCATTCTACTTTATTTGGTCAGTTCTGCCTACCTGAATAATCTTATATTAACTGGCCACGTTGCTTACGCTAATTGCGCTTATCTTCGGTAACTTTGTTGCGTTTGTAGCATTTTTAAGTAACTCGTGGACATTTCTTACTTATTGCGGATTCGTTGCTAACCAACTTACTTCATATGCTAATTTAGCGAAGAGTTATGCCACTTATCTGTATGCATTATTGGATTTATTTTATTTCAGCTTGTTTTTTAAAGTGAATGGCTGTTGCTTGATATTCCCGGTTTGGCTGCGCTTGATATGCATGTTGATAAGGTGCCTACCTGTCTATTACCCACTACCCACTACCAGGAGACAGTTGGTCGTTGCTGGAGGGGACGGGGTGCACGGTCCTTGTGGCCGTGCTAGGCTCGAAGAGCGGTTCCTTGCACTCAGTGTGGAGCGGACTACGGTCCAGCCACCACCTTGTGTACGCTTGATTCCCCAAATACAGCGTGTTTGTGTTTGCCTGTGAAGGAGTGTGGACCGGCTCCGTTGATGAAACGTGGCTCCCATCCACCTGCGTCCCGGTCTTATTCCTTCGGGTTTACACTGGATATGGGGTTTGTGGATGGAGTTGTGGCTGGTGCAGTGCAAGCCACCCATGGTCCCTCCTTAGGCATAGGCGTCCTGTGGCTGGCCACAGTGACAGGCAAATCCGAAACCGGATACTGCCAACCATATAGGCTGTGCAGGAAATCCTGTAGAAGAGCGTGATAAAGTGAATGTTCTCACACACTTCATCGTAACATCGGCATTTGTTAGGAAGACATCTTGGATCTACCCAACTGAATACTACCTAGACTTCTGCGAAACGTTCACCGAGATCTGTGGCACGCTGGTAACACGTATCAGAGCAGAAATCTTACCAACGCCAAAGAAAAACCAAGTGATCTCTAAGGAGCAAAACACGTCGGTGCATGTCTCTGCGGGACTTAGCATGGAGAGCTCACAAGGATTCCCGGAATGTCGAAACCTGGACTTCATACGCGGCACAACTTAATTTTACGTGGAACTGATCCGCGATGACAAGGTGACGCTTCAGCAGGATATCATGAAGCGACTCTTCACGAACAGCAGACTTATACAGGCACATTAATGGCCTTCGTAAGATGCGGTGCGGAATCCCAGCACTGGTTACGACTGACGGATGCTCGCAATCAGCAAGGAAAGCAGCCGATATCTTGCGGTTTCATTACTCACCAAGGTTCCGGAAGGTAACGAGTCCAAATACTATCACTAGTTCTATTGCCCCACTGTTAGGTTTATGCAATATCACTTTCAATGCAGGAGCTACGTCGAAGAAGCTGTTGTCCCTGAATAACTACATTACTCCTGGAGTCGATAACATTCGGCCGAAGGCACTGCAGGCATCAGCCAGTGGTCCACTGGCTATTTTCTATTAGCGATATCTAGAGGAGAACAAAATTTCACCAATACGGAAGCTAGGGGTCATCACTCCTATTAATAAGGGAGTAAGTCGCACTGACGCAACCAATTACCGTCCGATAACGCTGCTTCTGTGCTAAGGTTATGGAGCTAATCATCGCAGATGTGCTGTTGCAATATCTGGAAAACCATAGCATAATAGCCCCGGAGCAACATGGATTTCGCCAAAAGCACTCATGTACTACGAGGTTATTAATTACATGCAGTAGCTGGACTGAAGCAGTTGATGGTGGATCAGGAACTGATGTCATCTACCTAGACAACTCAAAAGCGTTTGATCGATGAAACCACCGAATTCTCCTCTAAAATCCAGAAATAAGACAGTAGCGACCCAATTCTGTGTTGGGTAGGCAATTTTCTACCTGGACGTCAGTTGATGGTGAGGGACCGAGAATCCCTATCTAACGCAACAGGTAGAATGCGTGTACCACAAGGCTCGTTGTTAGGTCCTCGTCTATTCCTGGTTTTCATAAACGATGTAGCTAGGGCAATTACTTCCGATTTCTTATTCTTCGCAAATGATAGCAAGGTATGGCAAACGATCAGGTGACCGGACAACGACGAGGAGCTCCAGCACAATCGTAACACAATTTCGAAATGGTCAGTTCAGATTGCACTATCAATCAATGTTGGAAAATATCGCATTGTTCAAATCCGCCACAGACATGCTTACATGTATTGGCTTGGAGCACACAGATTGCAGACGAGTTTCCAGAAAAGCTCATACAGAGTGAGCTTAACTGTTCAAAAGAGTCTGAGGCATCTGCGAAAAGAGGCAACCAGCACTTCGGCCTGCTGCAGAAGGCATTCGTGAGTTTTGACCTACCAA